TTCTTATTGTCAGTCAAGAGATGTTCAACTTCGAATTCAACCCAATCTCCGATTCTTCGGCAATAGCTTTCAGTCAAGCCACTCTCACTGAAACCAAGTACAGTACCATACTGTACCTTCAAGGATCCATTTTCGCGTTTCTCAATAATGAGCTTTTTGATGAGCGTGTCCTTATAACGTAATACTGTAGATTGTAATTGCCATAAAAAGACCTAACGTATAAGAAATTAATGGCCGATAAATGTTGGAAATAAAAGCGATAAAAGACTTTACATAATTTTTATGACATGGATCAAGACTATTTTAAATTTGACTGCTTTAAGCAAGGCTAGAAGGCAAGAATCGAAACTGATCAGCTCTTCAGAGCCATCGTTGCTCTCGAACGTCGACCTTGTCGCAGAAAACTCATCGAAGTTGCCTCGGTGTCACTGGGGGTGAAAGAAGAGAATATCCATATGTAAAGCAAACAGGAGGAAAATGAACCACAGATTCTCACCCAACTAACATATACAAGCTGTATATTATTCACAATATCCTCAGCGTTCAGTTGAAAAAAAAAATAGAGGAAACACCCAGGACAAAAGTATCCAGGTTTCGTTACTTCACTAAAATTCAGAAGAGGCAATATTATCCCCTGTAATGGAATGGCTGATGGAGTGATTTGTGGTCGGCGCTTCTTCCCGTGGGCTTTTAATTTGGTTTTTTTTCTCTCTCATGACATGGTCACGGGATCATCACCGAAAGAGGTGCAAGAATCCTCGGATGCAAAAAGAACCAAAACTGAGTTCACTAGAATTTCCTCCGAAGTCCTAGCTGCACATAGCACAAGATGTCCTTGCTGAATGACGCAGTGCAGCGGAAACCCGAGCAACCGCAGGGCATCGCAGGGTAAACATTGCGGGATCAAGGTCACAAGGTCGCTATGAGCGCTTCTCCGGAGCAAAAGTTAGGTCGCGGGGCACCGGCACAAGCCCCCTCCCCCCAATTCGGCCAACGTTCGCACAATCGATCAAAACAAATAAAAGTCTGTCAACACGCCGGGTTTCGTAAGACCCAAGGGAAAACTGTCGCACATGAACAGAGCGGAATGTCGAGCATTTCTTGCGGCATGTCGTCGCAGCCAAAATCGTCCCACGCGACTTCTTCGAATTTACCCACAACAGAAATGTGACCTCAGGTTCTTCGACGCGTGCGACAGTCGTCAATCAGGGCCACCGGATCAATTAGAAGATTGTTACACACGAAATTTGTTTGAAAATGATTTACAACTCCGAAACGAAGGCCCAGGACCTTGAGGTCAGGAAGAGAAACGGACTCGTTATCAATGTGACACACGATCGGTCATTGTGGACAATCAAAGCGACAATAGGTCGACCGAAACCGTGTCACAGAGTCCAACCGGGGAGACTGTATCCAACGTCTTCCCCACTCATGTTTCTTCCCTAGCTTCGACAGGGAATTGATAAAAAAATCAGACCCACGATTGAAGCCCATTTTCCTGTTCCATGAGTGTTCCATATGCGGGAATCCATCTAAGAGATGAATGAACCGGTTCCTGGAACCCGAGCTCTTCGAGACATGTTCCATGGATCGGTGTCGATGCCAGCCGACTGTGAGCAATTTTAACGCCACATCGTTCACCTCCGTTCTGTTTTCCTCTCGGTTGACAAAGCAGCGACGCATGTGTTTCCAGGCATAAACAAGCTGACGTTCATTCATTCGCGAAGCTATCCGCTACGGATACAGAGTTCTCCCAACTTTGGGATTACGTGCGATTTGTTCGACACGCGGGCTGGTGGGATAATCAGTGGTATATGCTGTCGATCGAAGGAAAGGAAGTTCTTTGGAAACCTCGACAGCCCATTTTTGTGACTCTGGAAATGCGCAGTGCGTAAAAACCAGGAGTGGACAGGTTGAGCATCAACCCATGCATTTTCCCAATGACGACACAAATGAATCAATCCTGCCAAAATAATGTAAGTCTGGTCGTTACTTCTTCTCGACGCGAACATTCTGGAGTAATGAAGAAACGAATTGCTTGAATAAATTTGGATTAAATGGTATCCTATACAATTTCGAACTCATTTTCAAGCAGCATTTTCTCTGAGGAACCTGGAAACAAGAACAGTTAGGTTAAACTCATAATAAAAGTTGTCATTCAATTACCTCCAGATGGTACAGTGCGTAACTGTGTCAGTGAATGTTTTTGGGTCAAGTTTGCACGATTAAAAACCGCCATGTCGATAGATGAAAATATCCAAAGATAAGTTGCATGGTAAACTACAATAACTATACCTCTTGAACTGTGAACAATGGAACGCAAAGCAGGAATCAACGAAATGATCAACTTTATCACTCTAGATTAGTGAATATTGCGTCAGTGAATATTGTATATCATTAGTGCATTATGATGCTCCAAATTACGCCATATTTGAAATAGTATGCCTCTTGAATATTAAAACGTTTGAAAGGGGATATCACTTTTTCTTGAAAGCATTTCAAACAACTAACCCGACTAAGAAAACAAGATTCCCACGTCGGAATAGGTAAAATAATTTATTTTTGCAGTGGATTTTTAATGCGGTGACCATCTTTGTCTCATACCATGCATTCCTAACTACGCTGTCTTCAAACTGCACGACAGTACCATTGTTTATATAGGAAATTCCAGTTTTTTGAAAGAAAATGAAATTGTCCATGTGCTTAACACTGGGATACTACAATGTTAATGGGAATTTCATTCAAATATCTCGTGGAAAGAAACAGCTACTTCTGAGATGCGGGCACTCTCATATCTGCGCACAACTTATTTACAAAAGAATACTGTCTGTACAGCATAAAAGAAAGAATATTTCAGGGATAACTTTCTAAATTTTCAAAAACTTGCATTATAAATAGGTTAGGCTCACGTTCTCTTAATCGTAAAACAAATATTTACCGTAAAACAAATCTATTCCGCAATTTTTTGTGGTGGAATCCTCAAGGACTATGTAGTAATTTATGGAGTTGATTGGTATTCAATTGAACATTCCAACGAGAACACCACCAAAGGTAAAATTAAATCTTCAATCCACGAAGCGTCAGGTAGTTGAATCCCGCCTTACAGACATGAATTCCCGCTCAGTTTTCACAGGTAAGCTCGTGATAATAGTTTCTTGCCCTGTGTTTAGGAGTTGCGCTCGATGTAACATACAAGCACAACTTACACTTGAGGAGTGAGTTCAAAGCGGTAATTCAAAATAATGGCCGGGGAATCATAGACTAGAACACGAGCATATATATTTGCCGAGCCACAGCGAAGCATGATTCAATTGGTAGGCGTTCGAGGGGTTTGAAATAACGCCAGCGGAATGGGTGCATGAAACAACTTTTGACTCGTTCCCAGAAACCCGGGATGGCGAATGCATCATTTCCGCTCGTGCTAGCGGTCATCGTGACGCTGATTACGTCATCAGTGGCTCTCCTCACCACCTCCAACGAGCACATGTTCGTCAGGAAATCTGACGGTGGAAGGATCTGGGCCGTGATCGTCGCAGGCTCCAAGGAGTATTACAATTACCGACATCAGGTGAGGCACGGGGCTCTTTCGAACCACCGGTCACGTTCTCAAGGAATTTCCGGAAAAGTGAGACCATCGGCATTCCCGCAGGCGGACGCTTGTCACGCCTATCAAATCCTGCACAGTCACGGCATACCCGACGAACGGATCATCGTCATGATGTACGACGACATTGCCGACAACGAAATGTAGGAATGTGGGAAGAAGGCAGCGTTTCCGCTCCCGATACAACAACTCTCCGGTCACGATTCGATCCTCCCCGTCTATTGCACACAGTCTCTTCTTTATACTTGATAATTCACTCTCCTACAACCACGTCACTCCGCTCTCACTCCCCTTCTAAGTGAAGGACATTCAGCGACCTTCACTAAACTGATTTACACTAATTCTGCTAAGATTATTCATGCATGCGTTGCAAAGTTCAACGCATTGGAAAACAACGCGAAACAGATAATCCCATCGATCAATTCGAACAATAAAAAATAACAATTGCAGGGAGTAGAAAAAATGACCCGGAATGCACGAGATGGTCGAAAAGTTCCTAATAAACGAAAAAAATACACGAAGCAAATTACAGCCATGCATATGTCCTATCATGCGTTTGGCTTGAGCGATAGAGATGATCAGTGGAGATCGAGACATTAAAAAATCGAATTTATGTGTAAAACACTTTTGGATGCTTTAATAAACCACGTAAAACAAGTTGGGAGTTAAATGATTACGCCAAGAAATAAGCCACGGTTCGTTGATATTGTTCTTATGTTTTCGAGCGGCGAGATAAGACCACCGTTCAATTAATCAACTGAGCCAAGAGTTTGATTAATTGAGATAAAAGTAAGCTCGGTCAAAAAGTCGACCAACCTTACCCAACTGCTTTCAAACAAGACCAAAATAAAACAGCATACGCTAAAGCAAAGTTTTTGTGCATTACTTTATACCTCTTTCAGAACTGAACAGTGATTCACGCTAACTCCTCAGGGAACCAGGACATATGAAACTATGATTTAAAACTAGAAAAAAAGTACAGTACAGTATATGCATTCATGGAATACAGTATCTCAATTAAAAAAATCTGATATTTCATATTATCCTTCTTATAGCCTTTTTGTAGACTTTTCTCTCAGTTCTGTCATTCTTGAAAAATATGTTGGAACCTACAGTCAACCCTCGCTTCAGTGCACCCCAATTTAGTACTCTAACACCCTTGCATTGTGTCAGGAATTTCCCTAGAACAAATCTCCCTCAAAATAAAACATTACGTTCGAAATAAAAAAATGATAACTTCGAACACTCAATCCTTGAATTTACGAAGTTCAAATGATTTTCTTGTTGGGTGACACCTTTCTTCATTAGAAATTTCATCAAGTGGGAGCTTTTCTCAAAACATTGGTGATTGCTGCATGATGGCACTTGACCTAAAACTCAAACTCACGAAACCTCCTCTGCTCTTTCACTAGACACAATACTGTACTGTATACATGAAAATCTAACGAATTATCTATTTTTTTAAATATAGTAAGAGAAATTATAAAAAGCACATTTCCCCTTCAAATTATTTCCTGTGGCTTTATCTCTTATAAAACCGACTCAGTGGCCCCACCATGTTGTAAATAATCGAATTTTGCCCACAGTAGAAACTCTCAATTAAACCTTCTCATCCAATACCATTCGCGTAATGCCACCCTCGCTAGCAGGGGACAAAATGTGTCAGGGCCAATACGGGCACGAAATCGAGAAGTTACTGTATTAACTACTAATGCAATAGTGGACTTCACATTAGCGAACATCTTTCGTAACCACCCGACAATTCACTCAGCGCCACCAGTGGCATGTTTAGCACTCGTTGAAAATCTTTGGCCTATGTTGACCTTCATTGGGCGAAGCATGACAGAAGTCAGGCGACACCTACGTGATGACCCATAAAGTGAAACGGACCGTCGATTTCACGAGATGTTTGTCTGTTGAACTTCTTCCTCGTCAAACTTTCTAAAACCCATCTGCAGGAATCCGACCCCAGGGACAATTATTAATCATCCAGACGGGGAAGACGTTTACCGCGGCGTCAAAAAGGATTACACGGGCGAGGTGAGCATTCCAACCGGGGTTTCGAAAGATTTCTTATATTTTCTTTTTCCTAACGGGTGCAACGGTCTCGACGCCGGTTAACGCAGGATGTCACGCCGGACACCTTCATTAGCGTGCTGGCGGGCCACAAACACGCCGTGGAAGGACGTGGGAGCGGCGCCGTGCTGGAAAGGTGAGCGGATCGCCGCCGAAACGCGGGTATTCGGGGGGCAGCGTCGCAATTACCCCTTGACACGTGCGCATTTCCAGCTCGGCTAATGACCACGTGTTCGTCTACTTTGCGGACCACGGGGCCCCGGGATTGGTCGCCTTTCCGGCTGGAGAAGACCCGTTTCTGCACGCCGGCGACCTGACCTCGGTTTTGCACGAGATGGCACGTCAAAAGCGCTTCTCCAAGGTACACGCCCGCGAGGGATCGAAGGGGTTCTTTTCTAATTCATATTTTATTTTAGAATGATACCCTGGGTTAGAGCAGGTTTTGCGCGTGTATCTTTTCACTTTCTCCGCGTCGGTAAATTAGATAACGCGCGTGGCATGATGGAATCAAAGTGGACGTGAAACATGCACGATCGCAAACATTTCCAACGCAGCAATTACTCTACATGGTTTCCTTCAACCATTTCTTCGGTATTTCCTTTGTTGCGGTGGAAAAATCACTCAAGTGATACATGTACTATTCATTTCACCAAAAACGTTCACGCTTTCCATCAGGTAATCCATGACCTAACACCAAAATGCATGCAATGACCCTCCACTGGACTTCTTTCAGCAAACTCATAAGAAAGATCGAAAACGTTCCTGAGATAATCATCGCCTGGTCTTCTCAGAATTCGGTCCAACCCTCATTGATTCATGATAGTATTTGACATTCCGGTACATCACCATTCGAATGAAAATCATGAGCGTAATTCCTAATGACGCGCAAGAAAGCTTGGGATTCGGAGATACTCGCACAAAACATAATATGATTCTTTTTTTTTAGCTAGTTTTCTACATGGAGGCCTGCGAATCCGGTTCCATGTTCGCCAACCTTTCGGCGAACATCAACGGTACGGAGTATGATAGACATAAATTATGTACAACAAAAAAGTAAAATTCCAATGATCTCATTTTCGTCTCGATTTCTGCAGTATTCGCCATGACTGCAGCCAATTCTATGGAATCGTCTTACGCTTGTTATTACGACTCAGACAGGCAAACGTACTTAGGAGATACGTTCTCTGTGAGCTGGATGGAAGATACTGACGAGGTACTTTCTTGATTAATTGTGTCATCACTTCATCTCTCATCAAAGCGGAGTAATCGAAGAACAGATCTCAATTCATCAGCTCTCGGTTAAAATATATTCTGAATGATTATGAAGTTACGAGGTCTCCTGAAACATTTTCAGAATAGCTGCAAATGCGCAGGACCTCTAAATGACAAAATCATTATTCAAATCTGAGAATATAGTGATGCACCGGAGTGATGAACCTCTCTGTCATGGGGTTGGATTAAGTTAATTTGGCCGACACAAATAAATTAAATCATGATTGCCTTTTTTGTGCCTACTTCAGGCGTAAAAAGATTAACCGGCACTTGGGGTTTGAAACTATGCTTGGATGAAGAAAAAAAGTCTGATCGCAGCCACTTTTGCGTCGCTGATGGTGAGGGCAAAGCTAATCCCGAATATAGTATTTGTTGAGGGATAAGATTAATCAGTCAGTGCCGCACAGGTGTTCGAGAAAATCCACACTCAATGTACCGTACACATGCTTGCTTCAAGTCTATATTGTCACCAGCAGTAATCTCACGGAGGTTCAGGGACGTCGAATAGGAATAAATTAATTTCAAGGTACTGTACAGTGCTGCACGGGGAACAGTTTTGAAGTTCTGGTCCTGTTTAAAGACAGAAAAGTGGAAAAAAGGCGACGAATTCAGATAAAATGAGATCACCATATTTCAACGTCGTATGATGGGTATGTTACATCGACGAGACTTCAAGGTCTTCGCGCACATGAACGCGAATTTTTCTAGAATTCGTGAATACGCTTCCACTTTGATGATGTTAAGTGGTCTACGCTGGAGAGTATCTGCAAACAAGCCATTGACGAAGAAAAGAGCGTTGAAAGGATAAATAAAAAAAAGTTATTCTCTGAAGGGCATCGTGGGGATTCGTGAGGCCGCGCGCGCAGAAAAATAAAATCACTCAGCACAAGAGTCTTCATCAAGCAGATCTTTCAAAGCAAGGCCGGTAAACTTCGGACGACAAATGAGTGCGTTTATCTTGCCTGCCGACAGGAGAACATTTCAAGTGAGACCATAAATCGGCAGTATTCGATCGCGAAGGCGAAGACGACGCTCAGCCACGTGCAGCGATTCGGAGACTTGCGGTTGGGAGGACTGACAGTCAGCGAGTTCCAAGGCAGACGCCAGCGACAGGAGCTTATCAGCTACTCCAGGCTCCCGGTTAGTACCGCAGAAATCTCCAGTCGGAATGCATTCCGGCGTCTGATACGCAAAAGCAGAAATAATGCGCATTTGCCGACAGACCGACCAAGTCCCGTCTCACGACGTTCCTCTGGAGATTTTGCGTCGCAAGCTCGAGAGTGCCCCGAGCAAAGCTTCCCGTCTCGCCATACGACGGGAAATCGGCACATTGTTAAGGGTAAGCCTTTCACGATCAACAGTTGATGAGAGTGAAACAATAAGTTTTGGTTCATTTTTTAAAGTCGTAGAATCGCCGAAAATCTATGTCATGATGCGCGTGCAACGGCGTTCTCCTCCGAAATGAAAACCGCTTTTTTTAAAACGCGAAAAATTTCATAAAAAGCGGAGACTTTGAAACGTAAAAATGAAAAAATTTGAGAAGTGAACACATAACAAGTGGCGATGAAGGGTAACAGCATGTACAAGATAAAGAAAAAATGCCAAATTGTTTCCGAGCTCTACTGATTTCGTATCACAGCATTTTACTCGAGAAACTGCATCGATAATCAGTTGGTTAGGGAAATGTATCAGATCATTGATTATCCGCGCTCAGAATTACCAGGAATTTCCTTAACTAAGGGAGAATTTCAAGTAAATGCAAAGAAAAGATCACGTTATGAAATGTTGCTTTTGAGACGCGTAATTTCTTTTAGATTCACTAGACCTTCGCACAGAAATGCAACCAGAATGAAGATACAGTCTTACATGGATCGGTGAGCTAACAAGACACAGTATCAAAAGCAAAGCGTAAATTATCCAACGAGAAGCTGGAGCTACTACACATCGCGTAATTTTCAGAACAAATATAGGATCTGAAGCATCTGGGAAATCGTTTCTTTTTCTGCCTTGGAAGAAAATTTATGAAATTATCTGATCAGGTGATCGTGGAGTAATATTTCGTCACTCGTCGGGTGCTTAGAAAATGTTAACTACTGTATATGCGGCATTTTATTCATCGGGAGCACTCATCAGTTACAGACCCGATAAAGGGTCTATTCTTGTTGACATCGCAATACTAAACTGTGATGTGTTTAATGTCATCCATATACAGTATTTCTTATTAAACGGTAGATCTTTTTTTTTTTCAGAAGCGAAAAGCCTTAAACAACCTTGTCGATACAATGCTGAAAAATCTGACACTTGACGAATCAATCTACTTGCGAATGATAACAGAGGTGAGCGATGTCGGCGATGACGGCTGCTACAAGGAGGTTACGAGAGCTTTCCATCAATGTGTCAAATTCAATGAGGTGCGACAAGGTGACGATCACGAAATTTCGCATGAACTGATAACTTGATTCGAACATTACAGAACAATTACGCGCTAAGGCAACTTTTCAAGTTCGCCAATGCCTGCAAGGTTTCCAGTGACCATGAATTGATAATCACGCAGATCGAGCTCCGTTGCCCAAATCCGAGGTGGACCGGAATACATTGAATATACTGTTGTGCAAGAAAGAACCTACGGTATCTGTTTGAAATTCGGGTAATAATGCGCATAAGAATTATACAGCATTATTCTTTTGTGTCTATTTCTTTTATACCGTGCCCCGTCAGAAACGTCCGAACATGAGGAGGTAAACGGGATGGCGTCATCACACCTAGCGACACCTGTTATACAAATGTACAACTCAAATTTTCTGTGATGGCTTCACAAACTTTGATGTCACTATAGCAACCTCGAAACGTGTTCTCGCCCAATTTCCCCAAGAAATAATGTGTTGGAAATGCGCATTATTGCTTCGGGAAAACGAGCGGAAAGTTCTTCAACCTCCGCCTGAAGAAAAAAACGTTTTCGTACGTAGCTACGATCAATCATTGGCTTCGAAAGTGCGCCATTTTCAAGCTTTCCAAGCGATTTACGAAAGGACGACAGCTTTTTTCGACCTCCGTGCTTTCTTTTCTCATCCGGAAATCGTGGATGGCTTCAAATCCCAAAACATATCGGAAAATCGAGCGGAATAGTTTGACTGCACATTTCTAAGAGAATTCGACATACGCAAAATGAATAGATTAAGTTTCGGAGAAGATGCGAATCCGTCGACAGCAGTACAGTACTACATGCAAAGCTGATGAAGTTCGGATAATAAATCGATGAAATCAATCCCACCGTGGTTTACTGCACGAACGCGCTTCCACAATAAACGCAAATTTTCAGCAAGATTTTGAAAGCCGAGGATTTCGCAAGCGTTCAATCAGCAATAGGTAAAGGCCGATTTCATAGCGGAGACCTTGTATTACGAAAGAACAATCCCAGGATGAAAAGGAACCACTACATCTACGGAATAGCGAGAGAACTTCGACTGGTAAAAAAAATCTGCGATGATTTGCAAGGGTGCAGTGAAGCAAGATAAGTGTTCTATCAATTGATAATTATCTAGAAGCGGGCTGAATACCTTGCCATTTAAATTGTGCTCATTAATTACCTGGTGTGCATTGTTGGTGAAAAAAGGCTGCCAATCAAAGAACTCATGCATTTGTATGCACTGCGAGAACAATTTGTTTTTATTATTATTTTCATTTTTGAATGGATGTATATGCGTGGGAAGGGGGGGGGGGTCAAATGTTTTGAAAATTTTTAACTTCGACAAGCGGCAAATGAATCGTACTTATCCATCTGAAGCAAGAAAGCTGAAAACTTTGTAAAAAAAATCGATTTGCATCACCGAAGAATTTCTTTAAACTTATCTATCGGGACATTCCACTGACAGTATTTTTTTTAAGTTTAACATGCACCTTGAAGTTCTCTTCAAGATGAAATTTAACCAAATGCAACAAAACGGCATTGCTTTGAGGTTGCCTTTACACTGCAGTTTGTTTTGATCATTTTCACCTTCGCCCATGTTTCTCTGGGATTACGACCCAATCATGAACTGTACACCTATTATTTGGTGTCACCATTGATTCGAGTGAAAAAAATCACTCAGAAAATATAGCTTTCAGCACAGTACTTCCTCGGGGGATACCAGGAATTAGCGCGATTTTTTTCAGTACAGAAAAATCCACAAAAGGCACTTTCACTCTAAAATTCCAAAATGTCCCCTTCCAGTCAAAATTACTGGAACTAAAACATCGCATTGAAACACTCGAAGAGTAGTACCACACATTTCTGAATTTCAAAAAGTCATTTGGAATTTGTTTGACGTGATTTGGTAGTTGGATTTAATTTTAAGGCATTTCTGTCATGAATTGATTTCATGTGATCGTCGTTAAGGCCTACAGTTTTCAAGTATATATTTTCCAAGCTTACATGCAGTGGCATGCACAACGGTTAAATGAACTCGCTGACATGTTCCAAATGATATCGTTCGTCAAATTCGCTCTGGATCCGACCAGCTTTCTAAATTAAAATTTGCTATCAAATTTTCTATAGTCTACGCACTCTACGGGCATTTTATAGACTGGCCAATATTCAAAAAAGTTATGCGTGGAACTGGTAGGCATAAAAAATAAGGCAAAAACTTCAAACCGCTCGGCGCACTCATTTTAATTTCACATGATTGAAAAAAAAACTAATAAACATCTCGTACCATAAATGACGCCTTTTGTTTCTCTCACTGGTATTGTCAGCTGAATCTTATTTAATTTTTATGCTGTATATCCTTTACCGAAAACCTCTAATTCTGAAGTGCGTCGCTGTACTGTTCAGTACACATTTTTCAGAGAACTATAGTATCTTTATTTCTGTAAAGCTCAGCAAAACACATTAGTGCGCTACCCAGCTCCAAAATATTAAAAAATTAAAAAGCATCCGCTTTTGCTCCGTCCGTACGAAATTAAAACCTAGCTCAATAACAAGCTATAGTCCAGGATATCGGTTGGCGGGGTTCGGAATAAATTTCAGTTTTGGGAAACCAGGAGGTTTCTTTGAAACTTTGTACGCAGGATCTAATCGACAAGTACATTTCAAGATCCTCGGAGCCAATCCTTCCCATACCAACGGTGACAGCAGAACATGGTTTTCATAATGGTACTGTATTTCAGCTTAGCATTTTAAATAAATGTCACATGAACCTTGGCAAACGCATAACGTATTGTGCATCGGGAAATTCAAAGGAATCCTCCTGTGAACAGAGTTCTATAAATAGAGGTACACAAACTGTACACTCTAATTTTCCACCACGTGACATGTTGTTTTCTCGCTCGCTACGGTTGGATTCTCGCGTCCCCAAGGCGCAGTTATACCCGCTTTCTTTCATGTACAGAATTGCCTAGCTTTGACAATTCATCACTCTGTAGCGGCACGAAAACACTATTTTGCTGCAGAAAAATTGCGCGTAGATTTTGGGCGAAAAATGAGCAGTTGGCCCGCGTAGGAGAGTCCGCGCTTGTGTGACGCGTTAAACCCATGCACGATCTCACGTCTGCGTCTTGGGCTCCGACTGCTTTACCCCCGGCCGAGACGGTTCCAGCTCAGCCAGTTACTTCCAGTCTACACCAGAGCTCGGATGCGGTTTTCTGTCACAGGACGATTTGATCCTCGAGTTTGGTCCTTTATCCTTGAACCGTCACGATTTTCACCGGGCTCGCTTCAACTTGTTCTTTTTTTTCATCGCAGGATAATTAAGCTTAGGAATCGCTTTCCGGGAAGGCGTCTTGAATCGTCGTAAGAAGTTGCCGAATCGAAGCCTAACTAACCAGAGAACATTGGGATCATGCGGCTGACGGAGAAAAGATCGTGCAGCATCAACATCTTCTGGATCCTCGCCGGACTCCTCATTTCCTGCGTTGTTGTCGCCAGCGCTCTGGACTTGGACAATTTCGACCGCATGACGAGGAATAGGAAACGTGGTGAGTGATTCCGCTTACTTCTAGTTTCGCGGAAAACCTCAGGATGAGGTTTTCATCTTCGCTTACGCTCGGTAAAATCGCTGAACGGCACGAGTCATTGCGAATCGACAGCGGTTTTCAAACGTTCGAATATTCCTGTCGCCGTTCATCGGATTCAAAATTGTCGGGGGTCTCTGAGGACATATTCCCGTTTTTTTAAATAACTGACGCCAAAAGCCTTGAGTGCATTTTTCACTCGAATATGGGACGACATTTATGATAATACAGCTACTCTCTGGGATTCAAAATGAAAACAATATTGTTAGCGCATGTATGACAAACTTCACCATAATTCAAGCCCTTCAAAACACAAATAACATTTCCCCTTAGCAGCCGATGATCAAAAATCACTTATTACACACTCTCGTGTCCACATCTAGAGCATTAAAACTAACTGTAACTAAAGAAACGCGCCGTAAAAACCAGAATAAAAATTTCAAGTGCAGTAACAAGTAAAATCAACTGAACGTCAAACGCAGTCCTCATGCAGATAGAGCCTGTACAGAACTGTACAGTATTCCTAAGATACGAGGAAATGTAGCTCAAAACAAATTACCCAAAAAGGATTATTCTTTATTGCATGTTTCAAGACTCCAATTCCTAGAAGAAACCTGATAGCGTAACTGGAGAGCAGTACTTCCGTAATCAGACATCTACGAAGTCGGCGATGCATGAAAACAAAATTTAATCTAGCAAGAACCTCTTCTCGAGATGCGAAAACCTTACGCGTGAACCTTATTTTATCTTCAGTCCCTTCGACTACAATTCAGCGGAATTGCGAGAGGAAATAAATTGAATGAGCACTCATTTTGTCTACGATGTGGCGTCAAGATCGGGTAATCCAACTCCGACTGCCTTATGGAAGACGAAATGAGACTTCGCCACAGATGCAATTTGAATTGAAGTACAGTGAATAACATCGGTAAATTTTGGCTTTTTGGTTCAGGCTTTTGTCAATTACTGATTCAACGTCCGGCGAAAAAACGTTGAATTCTTGATTACCAACACTGCAACGTGGGACTCAATTATCCGGGCCAAAGATTGAGTTTTACAAATGATCAAAGGTAATGGAGATAATCAGACGGGAAAGCGTTCTTCAACGATGACAGGAATTCAAAATTAACCTACGCTCCCGCAAAATCTTGACGAGCAAAATGCTTCCTATGCGCCTTCATGAAATATTCTTTTCAAAAAATCCATGCTTCTCGTTTTTCAATCATTTTTCTCTCTACGAGAGCGTGCATTTATAATTTTTATAGTTTCGGTAGCTTTCCGGTGATTATCGAAACGTCATGAAACTCACATAACGAATCAGCTCTGNTCAGACATCTACGAAGTCGGCGATGCATGAAAACAAAATTTAATCTAGCAAGAACCTCTTCTCGAGATGCGAAAACCTTACGCGTGAACCTTATTTTATCTTCAGTCCCTTCGACTACAATTCAGCGAAATTGCGAGAGGAAATAAATTGAATGAGCAATCATTTTGTCTACGATGTGGCGTCAAGATCGGGTAATCCAACTCCGACTGCCTTATGGAAGACGAAATGAGACTTTGCCACAGATGCAATTTGAATTGAAGTACTGTAAATAGTACAGTGAATAACATCGGAACATTTTGGCTTTCTGGTTCAGTCTTTTGTCAACTACTGATTTAACGTCCGGCAAAAAAACGTTAACTAATTGATCACCAACACTGCAACGTGGGACTCAATTATCCGGGCCAAAGATTGAGTTTTACAAATAATCAAAGGTAATGGAAATAATCGGACGGGAAAGCGTTCTTCAATGATGACCGGAATTCAAAATTAACCTACACTACCGAAAAATCTTGATGAGCAACATGCTTCCTATACGATATCATGAAATATTACGCCTTCATGAAATAATCGTTTTCAAAAAATCCATGCTTCTCGTTTTTCATTTTTTTCTCTCTAGGAGAGCGTGCATTTCTAATTTTTATAGTTTCGGTAGCTTTCTGGTGATTATCGAAACGTCATGAAACTCACATAACGAATCAGCTCTGAATTCAAAAGTATCAAACATTGCATGAGTATAAAGCTCTTTAAGAAATGTCAAATGCTGGGCGATGGCCATACTAAAACTGTATAAGAAAAAAAGCGCCAAGACAAAAATATCCTCAGTGCGAAATACCATTATACACAATTCCCCCGGTAAAAATTTATTCAGGAATACAGTAATTGTGTGGTTGGAAACACAGCACTCGGAAAAAGACAATGAGACCATAAATCACATATAAAGCTTTCCCCTAAAACACATAATTTACGAGGAGTTGTTTTCTCGTATGCATCTTCCTTATTTCACTCGAGTTGTATTTACGAATTAAAATGAAGGCGATCACTAAGTCCAAAAAGCTCCATTTTGCACAGCTAAAAAATGTATCAATGCAGCCCTGTGTGATGTTTTTCCACGATACGTCTCTATCATCACGATCAAAACCTAAAACAGTGAATGGCCCCACGTCTATTGACCGAACAGCCTTCGAACAATGATCGTTGAAAATAGTGAAGAGCGACGGTTTAATTAAGCACACATTAACGACATTTGCATGTCGCAATTATTTTTCAACGCATAATTTTCTAAAAAATAAAATTTTTACAGCCACAGAAAGAGAAATGATGAATAAATCAATGAAATTGCATCTATACAATATTTCGGTCCACCCTTTTCGCGTCTACTTCAGAGAACTGTGCAAGAATCCTAGCATGCCGGCAAAGAAATTTCCACCATTTTGAGTTTCGGGTGGTTTTCAGTCGTTCTACGAAAAAAAATGCAATAAATTGCTTACGGGGTCGGAAAGCAATCAAAACTATTAGCACTATGGCTACGTAGAATGAAAAAACGAAGGAAAAGTTGCAAGTTCTGCAGAGAACAATCATGCTAATGTTTTTCGAACAAAAATGAAGTGCCATCCGACAAAAAAATATACGCGGTACGATGCACAGATGCTGCGAAAAGCAATTCTGTCCCAGAGGAGAAAATAGTAGAGCAATTCTGCCTCGCTCAGTCGAGGTATTCCATTGTGTGTCGCTAGCGGGAAGCAGCACAGAGCTTCCGGAAAACAAGACCATTTTTCGCATCTACATTCGTCCGACGACAGGACTTCCGCGGGAATTCTCGCGAGTGATAATCATGTAGCGAAACTCCGAAACCCAATGTTTTTTGCGATGCGACAGGCTTCCTGCTGCTATGCACTTTCTGCAACTCGAAAAACTGAATGGAACACGACTAGACATGCGTGAAATACATGCAGTTCCCACTGCATGCACGACTCTCGTACGCAACGCTTGATAAATTTGTCTCTGTTGCTTTTGATGCCGCACAGAACGCGTTTCTGCTCGCCAGAAAGTATTCGCACGGGTTATAAAAAGAAAAAGAAATCGTGTCTCGCTCATGTCAAGATGGGAATTGCACCATACAAAGCTAGCCATGATGTCGGATCACTCCCCAATGAATCTGGATAAAAAGTCTGATTTCCGTCTTCTGTGATGTACTATATTGTACTACATACGAAGACTGCTGTAACTTAATTTCCCCCGATTTTCTTGGGATAGCGGAAATTTCGAAGACACTCAGGCGGGAGGAACTAAGGCTGAATATATTCAAGAAGCTAGTATAACAAATGAACGAGTTACTTTCGATGAGAAGAAACTCGGAAGAATACCAGCCAGAGCCGCTCTGCTAAAAGCTTCACCTAAGAACAGGCCTTGAAACGGGGACAGCAGCAATTTCCTAAAAGCTTTCTAGAGGTGTGTCGTGTACTTACCCCGAAAGCAAGGTTACCGGAGCAAGAGAGCATCCATCATTCTACTCAATAAATGAGGCACACATCAAACGGTATCCAGGCTATCAAAGACTAAGACGGAATGTTTCATGATCACGATGTCAGAGTGCCGTCTTAACACAAAGGGCAACCTGAAATAAGGTACAGGCCACATTGTTAAACGATCACTGAAGCGATATTATTCGAATTTCACTTATTGCATGAGATTCCCGAAAAGGAAAATGATCATTTCTGCAGAAAACTTGTTCGGAGAAGTAATGAACTGCGGCCTTGAATTTATGAATTTATTAAAATGCCCTCTGGCGTTTCCACGAAAACGCTGAGCGTATTTTCAAAATAAAATCATTGACACAAATAACTTGGACGCGAGCGATGGGCTCGATTACTTCGTTTTTCAATATCGAATCTCTCCCAGCGTGAAAACTTTTCCGGGAAAACTGAAAAAGTTAAATTTTACCAAAAACTTCTGTCTTCGTAAGTGAAAGCCAGCTCTGGGACATGATTTTGCCAAAATCGTTGAATGAAGTGAGGAATCTGATGTCATACAAAAAATTTTGACCTCATATGTTAATCATTTGATGGCGTACAATTCGCTAGAGTGGTAGTTCGAAAATAATACCTGATTTCATGATATACACTTTGAAACAGTAATTCTTGTACATATCGCTGAGCAAGATAAAGCTATGCCAAGTTTTCCTGACTCATCACGCTTCTGCTTTCATCAAGGAGTGCAGTATTCGGGGTAGGGAGGGATCTCACATCAGAAATCCCGTTTTGAAAAAGTACTACATTTACTACAGTAAAATCATGATCAAGAAATGATCATCGAGAGCATCAACTCAAAAATGAAAATATGCAGTTCGCTTTTTATAGCTTCACGCATGTAACTCGTACGAAAATCGGATTAGCTGCGGACTCCAAAGAATCGTTGGCGAAGTCATTCGAACGAAAATCATGAGAAATACAAATTTCTGCGACCCCTCATATTGAACAACGCTTTGATTCCGTAGATTTAAAACATATTTGACCACAAAGCAGCAAAATAAATGAATGAATAAAATTCAAGGGCTGAAAAAATATATTTAATCGTCGAAATCAACTGCACATGATGATTAAATGCTTAATTTAATATCATGTAAGTTCAAAGTAATGTACAGTACTGTACACTACTTTTTCTTAGTTCTCCGTCACGCATTTGCAAAACAAATTCGCATACAAATCTTTTACAGGAAATATTACAATATACAGTTGTAAAATACTTATTCGGAAGTTATGCACGCGTTTCCTCGCTGTCAACCATCGATAAAAAAACCCAAATCGAATGATGTTCCTACGAAATCTCAACTATCAATGAGGGATAAAAAAAAACGAAACGAATGAATATCCAACGCAATACCCGGATAAGTCACAAAAGCAGGCTCTTCCACGGAGCACCGCGAACGAGATCTCCATTTGCAACGCCCGAGAGAACGAAGCGATACATTCGTTTTCGATATAGGAATCGAAAAAGGAATCGAGCCACCTCAGGCCTTGAGTTTTGAATTTTCCAAAAACCCATGCGTGGTCTGCTTGCGTCAATCTTATCGGTAATGAAATCGCAATCCCCGCAAAGCTCGCGTGGCAAAGGCAACTGCGAGTATTCGCCCGTTTCGTCAACAAACGTGACTGGAACTCGACAAATTATTTCTGTGGGCGAACTGAAAACCCTCGTCAGATATCCTTGCCCGATACAAGCTCCGAAATGAATTACTGAATTTCTTCAAGCAACACGAGATAATGCTTTACATGGCTAAGGAATTTTCCTGCCGCATTGTAAACTTGATTCAATCACGTGATCTTTTCTCTTTGGCACATCTCTATACTCGCTTGAGCTTCATTCTTAAAAATTTAAATAATCTCAAATACATATATCCCAAATATATATACCAATTCCAAATATATATACCAATCTCAAATATATATACCAATCCCAAATATATATATACCAATCCCAAATATATATAAATAGTCTCAAATATGAATAATCAATGGACGTTACCACACCCCCTCCTTTCACCTTATTTAAAAAAAACTCGTGTGCGGTTAATGCTCGACATATTCGACGAAATGCCGCAATGATTGGAATGTGTTATCTATTTTCGAAATCAAATGGGGGAAAACAGTTCAATTTCGGGAAAGGGAGAAATTCTTCTACAGCGGAAGTACCCAGGCTATTGCACGGAGTTTTGCTAGGTCATTTCAGTATTGCAGACCAATCCCACTGAATGTACAAGTCCATTACAAATGTATACACCACTTCACAGACTAAACGCAATCAGTGATTCACGCTAATACTCCTTTCAATAATTGAAATGCATGCGGTATTTATAAATTCTTCCCTTAAATGTATAAAATCAAGGTGCTGCCTTTAATCCATATCGTAAATACGGTTTTCGGGGAAGCTTGAATTGACCGTCGTATACGCAAAAGATACGCAGGCAGTCATACTTTAATGGATAGCGACGCTGTTAAGAGAGCGATCCTGCTTTATAATACAAGTCCCACAATTGATGAGGTTCACGAAGAGTGCCGCTTAGAAATTAAAAGTTTCGTCCCCGAGACAACCTGATCCTCGCAGTTTCTGCACGCGTGATCAGCAAACAAATTGCCCCGAAGTATTTAAAGCAGATTCCAGAGAACTGAACACGTGTATGAAGTTCAGAGGCTAGGGCACATGTTTAAGGTCAATATGGAGGAAGAAAAATTGCGAAAAGTTTCTAGGCCAACGACAATACAAGCACAAGCCGTCAAGCAATACAACACGTCACGAAGCGGACTTTGGGAGACTTCGTTGCCGAGATTGAAATTCTGCCTGAAGCTCGCTCAGTGGAAGCCTTTGTGGTCTGAATCCCTCGCATGAACCCCCTGAGGTGCTTTTCCGTTCCGAAAGACATCGAGCATAATACACCCCGCAGTCGCATAACCTCACGGATGAAAATGGTCGGTTGCGTCCAGCACAAAGAACCTTAACGATGTCATATTTCGCTGAGAGACGATTTAATGAGACTAGTTCAGTCTGGAAACGCTTTGCATATGATGCGCTTCCTCGACGGCTGCATCCCATGTTCTTCGCGACGCATCGATTCTGCAGTTGTTGCGTAATGCTCAGTGACTTCACCATATATGCATAAATATAGGTAAGCCACAACTTTTTAGCACACGAGGCCAGAAGGAAGCGCTTTTCGCAAACCTTCCAAGGGCTCTACGACTATTCCAGGAAAAGAAAAACAGACAAATTTAGAAGTAAGATTGAGAAGTGCCCTATTCTCGCGGAAATAATCGACAAATCTCCCGTAACTCAAAATGAAAATGATAAATATAAATTTTGCATATTTTTCCCCAAACATGCATTTGCAAGATTTAGCCTTAGAAGATCCGCCGTAGAAATCGATTATATGGGCTGAGTAAAACAAAAAATATCGTCAAAAGGGTTTCTCGCAAAAAAATTTTAGAATAAAAGAGGGACTGTCAACCTCTCAACCCTTGGAGCTCGGCCCGGCACTCCACGAAAAAAAAAAAAAAAACAGAAGCAATAATCGAATGAAATCTAGCATTGTACTTGTATTGAGATGCGTGCGCTACAGAAATCTACCGAGATTCTTGTGTCTGTCACATAAAAAAGTTATATTTTATCTTATTTCTGCTGCAGAATATTGCGCTTCAAAAGATTTAGGGCAGCTAGGGCCGAGGAATTCAGGCGAAGAATTTATTTCTGCGAGGGCTTCGCAAGTGAGAATTTTTAAAACGAACTCTGCGATAACAAACGATACATTGCTATGATTATTCGTCATACAAGCATCGAGAAAGATCCTTCCATGGGATATCATTGCATTGCCACGCATGTACTGTTCCAAAGAAAGTGCTTTCCCCACGACCTGGAAAGCTCGGTCCTCTAAAATGTTCTTACCTTTTTTTTATTTTCAACGATTTTTACACGCAGGAGAGGAATAAATGCCATCAAACTTCCTCTTTATCGTAATTTCTCGACCTTCGAAGCAACGGAAAATACAGCGTGACACCTCCATTAATTTATTAGAATTAGAGTATCATTCGCCCCGAGGAAGACACGCACCTTCGTTTTGCTGAGGAAAATGTTGGTAAACATTTGCTCCCCATAAAACTCGCGACCCAGTTTTTATTCGGTGATGAATAAATTCAATACTGCACTGCGTTGAAATCCACAATAGATACAAGCTTATATTTTGGAATAAATGAAAGCTGACAATATGCAATATGAGACAAAGCCTGATAGCAGGCAATTCCATTTTTTTATAAGCATCAAAATCTTTAAATTTGAAGCTTTTGTTTTTTTAAA